GCACCTAAATATCAAGGTGGGATGTGTACCACTGTCAGTGCAGGAAACCCCAGACCTCCCAGACAGAATGGAGCCCGCAACCACATCCAGAGGCCCAGGCGGGGCCTCGGGACCAGGGTGGGAGCTGCTCACTTACCCACAGAGGGACGAGCTGAGGGCAGCAAGTGACCCCGTGTCTCTTTCCCTCTCTCCTGCAGCCATGAAGTCGGGGGGCACGCAGCTCAAGCTCATCATGACATTCCAGAATTATGGGCAAGCACTGTTCAAACCCATGAAGTAAGTACTGGGGGCCGGTCGGGACTAGGGTGCCAGGTGTGGGCACGGTGTGTGCTGGCACACGCAGGCACCAAGTTTCTAGTGGAAAATGCAGTGTTTCCTCCCAGAGGTGTTTCGGGTGAACTATGGGTGACTGCTCGGGCTTTCTCCCCATCGAGGCAAGCGGGCGGCACAAGGGTCCGGTGCCCTTACCCGCTCCCCTTCCTGGCCTCCCTCCCCAGTCCTCCCTCTCTCCACCTTCATCCACTGGCCGATCATTTCTACCCCAGGGAGCGTAAGTGTTTTAAACAAGGAGCCCGAATATGGGCACCAAAGAACGCCCCTAAAGGAGGTGACGTTTGCCTCTCCTGCCTGCCTTGGGGGCCAGCACGCTTTTTTATAAAGGGCCAGCCAATAGATGTTGTAGGTTTTGCAGGCTGTATGGTCTGTGTGTCCACTAATCGACTCTGCTGTCCTAGCCCCAAAGCGGCCAAACAACGTGTCGGTAAACAGACGTGGCTGTGTGCCGATAAAGCTTTATTTATAAAACTAACAGGGGGCTGGGTTGACCCCTCACCTGTAGTTTCCTGCTCCAAATAGAGCAGAAACCATGCTACCAAAATAAACATTAGGGTACTCGTTGGCACACGAAAATTTGTGGGAATGGTGGACAAGGGATATTTGACATCCAGGCCATCCCAAGAAAATTCACAAGGAGCATCGTGGTTTTGATGTCCGCTCCGGTGATCCTGGGGCTTGGGGATCCATGTGGTCCAAGGTTGCTCTGCCACCCTTTGTTAGCCCCAACAAGGCTGTTTGTGCACCGGCAAGGGTTTGTTGCACCCCCGAGTGCCCACAAGGACCGTGCAAGTTGTGTGAGCCTGCCGCTCTGCGAGGTGGTGGGACGAAGGGAAGCTGTCTTTTGTTCACCAGATCGTGGCCATTTGTCCTGATACACGATTTTCAGAATAAGCTGGAACATCTCTTCTGCTTAATATTCAAACGTTGAGGATGATGGTCACTAATTGAGGAGCATTCCAAATACCTTTCGGGCCAAAGAAAATATAGCTGCTAGTGTGTAACTTGTGACCGAAGGTATGATTTTGTGTCAGGGTGCTTCTGGGACTCTTGCTCTCATGCCTTGGGCCACATGTCCTGCTGGGGGCTTCCCCGAGGCTCCGCTTGACCTGTCTGTGGTCTGGGGCTGCCTGGAGCAGGTGGGACCTTATTCACACAGGCAAGACGAAGGCACCAGGGGAGGGCGAAGGCCTGGGGCTGCCGGGATACAGTGGGCATGCCCCATGCTGAGGAGTGCTGATGCCACCCCTGACTGGGTCCGTGAGCACAGCACCTCCTTCCCTGTGGCTGCAGGAAGGGAAGTTGGCACCTCCGTCAGGAGAATCGTATAGAAGAGGCAGCCGTTAACGGGCTTGGCTGTCTCAGGAGGACGGCTGGAGACAGGTGTGTGGACAACCAGCATGGTTCATGTATCCCCGAGTCACGAGGGATGACTGGGGTGAGACAGCTAGAGGGTATGCAGCCTGGGGGCAGGCACGGGCTCCTCGTGGAACATTCTGGAGGGGACTGAGGCCTGGAGTGGGTATGGGCTTCTCGTGGAACATTCGGGAAGGAGATGAGGCCTGGAGCAGGCATGGGTTCCTTGTGAAACTTTCCACCCTCCTTGGGCTTCTTCACGGTTTCAGCCCCTCTGCCGAGGGGAAACAGTTGAGAGGTCGCAGCCTCTCACAGGGAGCTGAAGTAGAACGGCTACTTCTGGGTCCCTTAATGTCACAACGGTGCCCTTCCCGTCCCTCCATGGAGTGACCCGTGCGAATGCCTGCGGTCAGGAGGCCCAGTGTGGGCGGAAACACAGCAGCACTGGTGGCATTGCCTGAGTGGCTGCTCTGTGCAGGCACAGCCGTCCTGGCATTTCCTGGGCCAGGCTCTGTGCCACGGGGTCACACAGTTGTTGTTGTGTCTTCAAAATGCCTCTGTGAGTTACAGGGAGCAGTATTATGCTTGCTGTTGCCACATAAAGATGAGGGAACCAGGACTCGGAGAGGTCGTATAGACTGCCTGAGGTCGAGCCAAAAGTCCAGGGAGCCTGGCCTCCGCCCCCACCCCGGCCTCCCTCTCCCCTGGGCTTCCCCTCCTCCTAGCCTCCCCTCCTCTGGCCTCTCCCGGCCTCCGCTGGCCCTGCCCCAGCCCAGCCTCCTCCTCTTCCAGGTCTCCCCTCCCCTAACTTCACCCCCCTCTGGCCTCCACCATGGCCTCCCCAAGCCACTCCTTCCCAGCCTCCCCCGGGGTTCCTCCTCCATGGTGGGCACCATCACCTCCATGGTCATGGAGGAATACAGCAGTCTGGCAGGGTAGGACAGCCAGGCTCATGGGTCCCCGGGAAGCTCACATAGCTCACGTCTGCCCCTTTTCTCCTGAATTCTCAGCACCCAGCCTGTTTATAGCAGGAGGGATGTCTGGTCCTACCTGTTTGGCATCTGAAGGCTGAGGCCACCCGTGGACCACCTGGGACAGGGTTTCTACCAGTGCTCAGCAAAGGCCAGGGGGATGTTGAGGCCAGGCTGAAGCCATGGAAACAGGGTTGAGAATCTCTAGGCAACTGGGGAAAATGAGGCCAGAAAGGGAGCGTGTATGCCCATGACCTGCCAGCTAGACTGCCAGAGCCATGGTGGGCATCCTGAGGCGAGCCAGGCCCCTTCCCCTGCACACAGCGTGGTCCTAGGCAGAGGACTGGCCGGGCACGGTGGGCACAGGGCAGGGGTTACAAGCTGATGGTGTTGCCCCCCTCTCGTCCCATCCTCTTGCTGCTCTGCTGGGTCGTATCCAGGCATTTCCTGGCATCCGGACTCCCCTCCGCTGACCGTGCCCTGAGCCTGGCATTGACTGTGGTCCTGTTGCCAGCAGCCTCCACTCCCCTGAGGACCCTGGGGCCCAGGCCCAGGACCCCAGGAGGCTGCACACGCCATTCCTGTCCCCAGTGGCTGTGGTCTGAATATGAAAACAGCTGTGGTTTATGACCATGGCATTAAAAAACTAAAATCCAAGATTAATAGTTCTTTTTAAGAAAAACTTTCTTCTCTGAACTCCTGAAAGTTTTGTAAGTTGTCAGTCCAATATTAGGAATTAATTATATGCTAGTACTGTTCCTCCAAGATCTCGAAGGATATAAGTTACGAGGCTCTAGAAGAGGGTGGCTGGTGAGATGGGGGTGGAGACTGGGGGTCCTGCAAAGTGTGGTTTCTGTGCATGGGGATGACCACTTAAAGTTTAGCATTACACATTTTTAAAAGTCACTGAAAAACACACCCCTAGCACATTAGCTCACGAGTTTCTGGACATTCTTGCTTTAGGGTTAAAGTAAGGTTTCTAACAAGTTAGGGGCAAGATGTAATTCACGTATCGTACGGTTCACTCACTTAAAGCCTACGACTCAGCAGCTTTTAAATTTTTTTTTTTTTTTACTGTTTATTTATTTTTGAGACGGAGAGAGACAGAGCATGAACGGGGGAGGGTCAGAGAGAGGGAGACACAGAATCGGAAACAGGCTCCAGGCTCTGAGCTGTCAGCACAGAGCCCGACGTGGGGCTCGAACTCCCGGACCGCGAGATCGTGACCTGAGCCGGAGTCGGCCGCCCAACCGACTGCGCCACCCAGGCGCCCCAACTCAGCAGCTTTTAGTGCATCCACAGAAATGACCATCCATCACCACAATCCACGTCGGAACCTTTTGGTGACTCTAGGAAGAACCCCATGCAGTGTTGCCGTCAATGCCCGGGTCCCCCTCGCCCACCCTGTAGGCCCAGACGCCACCGATCCATCTTCGGTCTCCGGTATTTACCAATTCTGGAGCTTCCTCCCAATAGAATCACACATAAACGTGACCAGCTTCTTTCGCCGAGCACCGCGTCCTCCGGGATGACCCGTACTGTGGCAGGTGCCAGCGCCCCACTCCTTTCCGCGCCGAACGATACTGCCTCGTGGGGCTGGGCCACATTTTATTTGTACTTCCACCTGTTAATGGCATTGGGGCTAGTTGCAGTTTGGGGTTGTTGTGAATATTGCCGCCATGAATACTCACGGACAGGTTTTTGCATGGACGTTGAGTTTTCGTGTCTCTTGGGTCCACACGTAGGAGCGGAGTTGCTGGATCTTCTAACAACTGAACTGACCTGTCGGAGAGACTGCCAGACCGTTTCCCACGGGAGCCGCTCCCCTTATGTCCGAGGCAACCCTGCATCCTGGCCAGGGGCCATTATTATCTGTCTCTTAGATCCCGGCCCCCCTGCGGTGTGGTGTCTGTCTCCTAGTGGTTTAGCCCCGCATTTTCCTGATGACTAATCATGTTGAGCGTCCTGACGCGTCCTTGTTGGCCGTTTGTGTATCTTTTCTGGAGAAATGTCTACTCAAATCTGCCATTTTCCAGGGGGGTTGTCTCTTCATTAGGATGTTGTAAGCATTCTTTATGTATTTTGAGCCCAAGACCCTCATCACGTATGTGGTGTCCTTTGAAGCATGAGAGTTTTCGTTTTTAAGTTTATTTATCGTTTTGAGAGACCGAGCACACGCGCTAGGGAGGAGCAGACAGAAGGAGAGAGAATCCCAAGCAGGCTCCTCACGGTTAGCACAGAGACAGGCACGCGGCTCAAACTCACAAACCGTGAGGTCATGACCTGAGCCAAAAGCAGGAGTCGGACGACTGACGGACTGAGCCCCCCAGGTGCCCCCTGCAGCCCAAGGCTTTTGTTCTGAGGGTGTTCTGTGTGTCTACTTGGTGGAGGCTGTGGCTGTGCTTTCAGCGTAGCATTTACGGGTGAACGTTGAGACAACACATACGCTACGTCGGCGGTGAGCTGTGTGGCTGAGGTCTGTGAGGCCAATGTGTCCACAGAGCAAGCAGGCGTGGCCACGGGCACCATGTGCCCCACAGGCAGCTGCAAGAAGCCGGTGACTTGGCCACAGCGGGTGGACTCAGTTGGACGTTCCGGAAAGTATGGCTCGTGGCG